ATTCTCCTTAGCAGGTAGATGATGTGTGCCATGCAGACACCCTGCTGAGCAGGGGCTGCTTGGCTGTTGTTGCGTATGAGAATCAACATCCACATCAGTTTTAGGGTCAAACTCTGCAGGCAAAAAGGTCAAGAGCCCAACTCACTAGTTGATTCCAGCCACAGCTTTTAACCCCGTGCCCAGAGGGCAACCTCAGGACTTGGACCCACGTTCTGCTCTGCATCATTTAATAACACGAGCAGAGCTGCCTGACACCTTCTAACCCCCTGGAGGGCATGAACCCCTGGCTCAGCAGTTAAAAGGTCAGTGCGGTAGCTATTAAGCCATCCATCACCAACATCACAGCTGCCACCACAACCAGCATCACTCAACTCTGCTTATGGGGAAAGCTTTACCAATGAGGATTTTTGTTACCAAACTACCTGCCCAGGAGCAGCAAATGCACTCCTTGTGTTTCTCTGGTGGATGCGCCAAGGCATCAGTCCTGCCGCAGCTCTTCCTAAACGTGTGCCTGACTGCGGTGGCATCTACAGCTGGAAGACAACCGAGTGAGTAAGGAGCAGCAGGTCCCTGCAGCTGATGGATGTCTGCAGTCCCCACAACGGCGAGGCACTTGTTAGGTGAAAATGCTCAGGAGTAAATTAACCCATCAGCCTTCGACCATCTGAGCAGCGAGGGGAAGGGGGATGCCCCCTGACCTCACATCTCCTGATTGACTCCACTTGACTGATTTGAGCATGGAAAGTGAAGCATGCACAAAGCTGTTTGCCGGGTCATGGCCTTCTTTGAGAGAGTTTTTCCTCTTTCACTCGAAGTCCTACAGGGCTCTTCAGAGCATGGTGAAATCCAGGGATTGGGCTTTTATGCATGGGCAACATATTGGCAGGTTTTTTAAGCAGATTGAAACCGGTTGGACAGCAAAGCAAGTGGGACCTGAGCTGCAGGGGTTATACCAAAGGACTCAGCACCCATCTAGGGACATTTCTTGGTTTAATCTCGATTTAATCTATTTATATTCATCAACATCTTCTATAAGGTCCTGCACATGGGTCAGGGCCATCCTGAGCACAAACATGGGCTGGGCAAGGAGTGGGTCGAGAGCAGCCCTGAGGGGTGTTGGTGGATGAAAAACTGAACATGAGCTGGCAATGTGAGCTCGCAGCCCAGAAAGACAATCACATCCTGGGCTGCATCAAGAGCAGCGTGGCCAGCAGGGCAAGCGTGATGATTCTGCCCCTCTGCTCTGGTGACACCCCACCTGCAGTTCTGTATCCAGCTCTGATGCTTTCAGCATAAGGACATGGACATGTTGGAGCAGGGCCAGAGGAGGCCATGAAGATGCTCAGGGGCTGGAGAATCTGCCCTGTGAGGTCGGGCTGAGAGAGTCGGGGCTGTTCAGGCTGAAGAGGAGAAGCTCTGAAAGGAGAGACCTTAGAGCGGCCTCCCCGGGCTTAAAGGGGACACAGGAGAGATGGGGAGGGGGTCTTGGGCAGGGAGTGTAAAGATAAGACGAGGAGGAATGGTTTCAGACTATAAGGGTGGATTTAGATTAGACGTTAAGGTGAAGTTCTTCACTGTGAGGATACTGAGACCCTGGCCCAGCTTTCCCGGAGCAGCGGTGGCAGCCCCTCCCTGGCAGTGCCCAAGGCCAGGTTGGACGGGGCTTGGAGCAACCTGGGCTGGTGGGAGGGGGCCCTGCCCAGGGCACGGTGTTGGAAATAGATGTTCTTTAAGGTCCTTTCCAGCCCAAACTGTTCTACAGTTCTGTGATTCTATGATAAACAATATATGGCCACTATTAAAACTGTACAAAAGGAATTCCATCCCTTTGGTCTAATTGTAGCGGTGATTTAAAAAAGCACATCCTCTGTTGCTGTGTGGGAAGAAAAAGAGAAAAGCTTGTGTGTTCCCTGTGATTCATTAGCTGAATGGGTAATGACACCATTCCAAGCAACTCTTTCCTACACATTTGCTGACAGCTCCCCAGCGTAAACTGAAGCTCCGACACTGTTCATCTCAGGATATTTTTAAAGGGAAGTACCTATGTGGTGGGAGTATGTCAAGCAAAAGCTTCACCCATCATAAAATCACTGCAAAACTCAGAATTTGACTTCCAGCTCAGTGTAAGGAGTGGGAACAACAGGAAAGCAAAAAACAAGTGCTAAGAGAGGAGCACCTGATAATGTCAGTGAAAATGAAGGAGGGCAGCCAGCTTTGAAGTGCTCAGAGAGACTGTCCATGTTCTAACACTTGTCAGCAATGACTGGCTGGTTTTAACTCCTCACCAAAGGTAGGGCTTGACTCTGCATTGGAAATTTATCATTCTGGGGATTTTAGCTCTGTGAAAAACTCCTTTTCTGCCACAGAGAACGCCCTTCAAGTGTGCTTCAGGTCATGGGCTTAATTCCAAAAGGTAAAAAAAAAATGACTTCAAATTACTTTTCTTTCTCACGAGAGAAAGAAATGTGTATGTTGGCATACAAACCCATAAAACTCTTATTTGCCTACTGAAGCCAGTGTGCCTCTCATTCGTCACCACAGTTTTTGCTTCCTTTTCTGGATTGTCCCCCTTACTGCAAGTTTTCCTCTGCCTTCCCTGCCTCCCCACAGCACAGCCCTGCTCTCCCACCCAGACTGCTGGTCTGGGGCTTTCTTCCTCCTTTTGTTTAAGAAAGCGGAAATGGAGAGCGATTTCAGTGAAGCCTTGCCAAGGACCTAAATGCACTCACATGCAGGCAGCATCGACATCCCAGGGACTTCAGGTTGGATTCTAGCTCTGATCCCCATCCCACAAAGGCATTGTCACTGCGTAGGTCATGGGCATACTGGGCAAGACTGGTCTGGATGGGGGAAGCCAAAGCACTGTTGTAGTGTTCCGAGACCCACACCGCTGTCACTTAACTGAGCAGGTCCTGAGATGAACATAGCACAGCTGCTGCTGAAGCACACTTGACCCTCCGGAGGCGTGGAGAAACTCATTGCACAGGGTAGAGATCTGGGTTGCAAGGGTTAGTGTAGACCACTCATGTGTCAGTTGACTCAGCTTTGCCACTGACTCCGTGTTTGATCTTGAGCAACATTTTGGAAAAAGAAGGTCCATTAGAAGAAATCCCATCACACTGGTGGATCCAGTCACGGCCAGAAGTAAATGCACTTTGTAATGATTGCTGTCTTCCCAGTCCTTGAGTTGGTTATTTCACATGGGTAAAATGTTATAAGGTGCCCACAGCAGAGAAAAACTTACTTTTATTAAATGTAGAAGCTTGGTGGAGCAAGCTCTGGCGTGTGAGGTTTGTTGGATGGACGTGGCACCTCTTGGC